GCTTGGCAACGACGTTGAAGAACAAGTCAGCTAACTTCGTGAACTCGGCAACCAGGTAACCGTTTTTTTCTGTTACCTCCGGTTTTTTCTTTGCGGTAACCATAATGGTGGTCGAGTAGATCATGTTGTGCGGGGTGGAAAACCCTCACTCCGCGCAAGGGGGATGATCGCACCACGTCGTGTTAAAATGGTCAAGCACCCTCGAGGCAGTTACACAGTGCTTACAACTGTCTCTGGAAGTGAAAGCACCGAAGCACCAGAAAATAAATTAGGTCATACGCAGCTGAGATCCGGAAGTAAGCACAAGATGCCGAACACCCTTAGCAGGATGCAGCGCACCCCTCATGCGACTCGCCGAATATCTCACGGCGCTTCGCGCTTGGTGATGTGAGAGCCTGGTCCGGTGAGAACCCGGCGTGCTCCGTCCCGGCTTTGTAGGGATGCGAGGTCAATGGTCTAACGACGGCATACACGGCAATGAGTACACCCCCCCGCCCCCCCCATTTCTGCGTCATGCACAGCACCACGATACGGCCACGCACACATCCCACCTACAAGTCCCGGCCTATTCTCGGAGGAAACTTAATCCCGATAGCCAACAACAATAGTCGCGGTTCTTCGCAGCAACAACGCATGCCGACCAACGCGAGCCGCCTTTCGATGAGATCAAACTCTTCAGCCCCTCGCCCCCCTATTTGTCGGGACCTATCGAGATAACTTTGATTGAAGCAACACCTCGCTATAACTCTGATTTGCTAGATGCACGCCCCACCTTCCCTGTAAAACAAGATGCACGAGGAGGGGAGCGTTTTACCACCGTTCGTGACTACGCTAGTGAGCAAAGAGGAAGCACTGCTTTTTTTTTCTCGCTCTCCTCGAAGGTAAGGCATCGATGACAAACACCCCTTCCACGTGGGCGGCGATAGCTCGGGTGGACTGATTGCGAGAGGCTTCTTGCTCTTCTTATCCCGCCCCCCAAATTAGTCGTCCGCACTTTTTTGCCACCACAATCACGTGTGCCGTCGTCTGCGCTCCAGCCATCCGACAGAGAAATGAGGGGCAGGGCGACCAACAAATCGCCTCCGGGAGGAGATGCCTCCCAAGGCAGACAAGACCTCCTATCCGTGCCAAATCTCTCGAGGGTGTATGCACGCATCACTCTGGGCGATGGAACGGCTGGCGCTCAACAAGCCTTCTGTTGATGCTCCCATCGCTATCGCTGTTGCTGCTGCTCGATAGTGGTGGTCTACCCCCCCTCGATACGGCACCGTTGCCCTCGTCATACGAAAGAAGGCCTCAACGATCGTAAAGGGCACCACAGCGGGGGTAGGCAAACGAATTGTCCCGCTCTTCGCGCGATTGTGACTCTTGTCACGAGACTGCTCTTGGTCCCACCTTCAGCAACAACAAGAGAGCGCGAAAGCAAAAGCATAGAACCCAAATAGCACCTCGAAAACGCCCCCCACCACGTAGAATAACAGCGGCCCGGCCGGAGAAACAGATCCGGCGGCACACATCGTGCTCACTCCATAATTTCCCGACAGATAGAGATCAAGCAGGAGAGAGCGAGAGAGCGAGAGAGCGAGAGAGAGAGCGCGGGAAAACTACGCGCAGCACCGCTCGCGCCTCCCCCAGCTGAAAGCTGCCGAATGCAATCTTCAAGGGCTTCTCTTCTGTGCCCCCCCCCCGCCCCCCCAAGTGCCACCCCTTCTTGCTCGTCTCGTCTCGTCGTCACTGGAATGGATGCTACGTGCGGGTGTTTCCCGTTCCGCTCCCAAATTAGACCCGGTACCCACGCGGTAAAAACCCTTGACGTATGATAGCCACTTCCAGCCGGGAAAGGGGCCAAGAAAAAATCTCGAATAAGCCCCACCGCTGAATAATACAGAAAACGTTACCCTCGCACAACCTCAACCGCTACTCCGAAACGGTGCCACAAAAGCAACTCCCCAACGCGCTCGAAGACTGATGTGCTGGCCGATTTTCGTGGGGAGCGGAGTGGCCGGACCGTGCTTAAGAATGAGGGTGACATTCGCAAAGACACACGGACCACTCACATCTACCAGAATAATCATAAGTGTTTCCCCGTGAAATGGACAACATTCAAGTGACGCAAAGACAACAGTGGTACACGAAAAATAGTGGCATGCGTCGACAGCCGGACCTCGTCGGGGCAACGAGTCATGCCAACAAACCCGCGATGCCGGGAAAGTGCAGCCGAAGAAAACATCGCAGAAAATCAAGCGCGTGTCACCACGACAAGCAGTCGAGATCCGTCCCAAAAAGGAACAAAAAAAAGAGGCATGTGTGTGAAAAAGCAGCATGTCTAAGTGGTGGTACAGATAGTTCCTGTCGTCAACATGTAAGCTAAAGACACATGGGGGGTGGGTGGAACATTTTCGATCGAGATTCGACAGAGGCAACAAATCGTACACAATTTGGAACCTTCTCCATATCGATTATCCACATCAACAAGAGCCAGATCGCACGCGTGGGGGTCGTTGGCGACGCCATCTTCTCCGTGTTTTGACAAAGAGAAATAAACTTGACCATTGGCCCAGGAAAAAACTTCCACATCGAGATGATCACTTCTTGGCACCAGCACCACCAGCGGCATCGGCAGCCTCCTTCGCCTCCCTCTCGGCAGCCTTGCGGGCTTGCTTTTCCCTCATCGCTTGTGCATCCCTGTTTTTAGATTTTGTCGCATTCGACGGGGAGAAAAACGCGCGGAACGGGATTAGACGGGAGAGGTCCACGGCGCATGGGGGGGGGGGAGGTGCGATGAGTCGATCAAACACGTTGTGCTCATCGTTGAAATCAATCTACTACGTGACACGGTGGAGGAGCGCCTGTTTTGCGGGTTAACGGGTTGGGTGGTCTTCGGGTCAGCCGCGGAACTACACTCATGATATCCGCCCCCTCCTATTATCAGAGGGAGGGAGGTAGAACCAGAAAAACATGGCACTGCCGTTGGGCGATAGGAAGACAGGTACACACGGATCTTTTTACATGCATGTGATTCCTCCGGAGTGGGCTCATGAGAGTCATTGAGGCGTCATGCAACATGACGACAAAAGCAGGACCAACCCTCAGCTGGCTGCCAGCTGCAGTCTGACGTTTCCCAAGCTCAACCAGCTGGCGAAATCTGTAAAATACAACCTTTCACTTCTTCCGGAATGTTGGTTTCGGGCACCCAGAGGGTGTCGCAAGGTCACGCCTGATAATACTCTTGTCCTTTTTGTTCTCACATCATGATCAGCGCTGTGGGGTGTTGAAAGGGGCGCGATCATGTGTGTGTATGTGTGTGATCGGCCGCAGCTGTATTTTGTTTTAAGGGGCATCTCTCCGTGCGTCTTCGTGAGTTCGCGTGCGCGTGTCGAGTGTAGAGGCTTTACTGCGCGCACTGGTGCTGTATCCAACGGCTTTTACGCCCTCCTTCCCTCATGTCTGTATCGTACACAGCGGAGCCTTTCCCTTGCCCGGTTGGCGGCTGACCGAATATTTATTTGTACACTGCCGCCAAAGAAACTAGGGCGGGGACTCGTTTCCGTCGGTAAGCTGAAACCCTTGAAGAATTAAAAGGCGACCGGGAATACACACGATACCCATCCGTGGGTTAGGCACACAGATAGCAGGAAGCCGCGTGTATCAGAAAGGCAGCAGAGAGAAAGAGGTAGGGCAGGCAGGGCGTACGCCGCAGTGCGGCCCCGGGGAGAAGCAGCGGCAGCATTCGCAGCAGACTGGCTTGTGTCCATAACTGTAGAAATCCAAGGCGCTGAAGGACACCAAGCTGATAAAACTCTGGCGAGTGACACCGGCACACAACATTTTCCTGATCTGGTATTACATGTAGTGCTGGTAGGAGTTGTGGGTGTAGAACCAACGCAACGAGAGAATTGCAACTTTTTGCCATTCGCATTTCTTTGCACATACTGCTGCAGGCGCTGCGCACATCACAAGCATGGGTCCCGAGGCACGAGCTCATTACTCCTTGAAAAATTAAGCGGAAACTCGGATTTTCCCTCCGATCAGCAGATCACACACTCTCACGTTCCTGGAACAGCAGTTGCGCCCCCCGACATCTAGGTGCCGTCTTTTCGGTCTCCCACCGCATGTCATCTGTCCACTGCTATTGTCGAAAAGTCCACGTGGGGCTTAGGACACGGCCCCGTCGGTGGTAATTCAGGGTGCATGGTGGGATTATGCGCGATCGGTTCGATCATGTCGCCGTGCTGCCTGCTGTGTAACGGCCCCAAGCCACACGGGTAATGCCACCCTTGTCGGGCGTCTCGCGCAAAAAAAACGGCAGCGGATGCTCGTGCAGCCATTGCATGTACTGGGGTTGAAGACTGAGTTGTCAACGAAAACGGCATAAGCTGCCGTTCATCGCAAGAACCAATCCTTCCGGAGAACTCTCGAGGGTGAGTGGAACGATGGCAACACCGTCGTCACCACCTGCTCCATGACTCTTATGCCTCGATGTATCGTATGCAAGATGATTGCGCGCTTGTCAACATCGTTCTACAACCAAACCCTACAGCACCTTTCTCTTGCTGACCTCTTTTCGTTGGATGTGTTGCCCGTCAGGGTCGGCAGACCGCACGCGCACGCGCGCGCGCGCGCTGAAACAGCGGTAAGTAGTCGGTGTTGAACGTCTGAATTCTTCAATACATCTAAATATTGCACGTGGTATGCGGCTTCAGGACTGTAGTAGAGCACTATGACACGGACCAGGGACCAGGGAAGTCTGGCTTCGCTCTTTTCCACTGTTCCATTGTTGGTGTGATTTCGGGGGCCAACGGTACAGCGGTGTTTGTAGTACACACGCCCTCGCCACCGCCTCTCTCTAGACACGATCGGTGCTCCCACCCACTACTGGCGCTACGCTTGTTGCCTGTACCGCACGGAAACTGCCTCTGTATCGAGAGGGGACGCGAGGGCAGCAGCAGGGCTAGAGGTACTAGTCCCTGCTGCTGTCTGCCTGTCTACCTGGTACAATATATCATGTTATATATACTCACAGGATTGCGGTCGTGTCGTCATGCATTTCGAGGTTCAAGTATGGGGCAAAAATATATAGAATGGTTGCTCAAATTTGTTTTTGGTGGGTCGTGGATACGACCTGAAACTAACGAATCTTCATGAAATTCCTCCTGCAACCGGACGAAGGGCATTTCAATACGACGCCACCGTGCCAAGTGAAACGCTGCTGCTCTAGACAAGCCTAAGCACAGGCACCCGCAGTCATGAGCGTGTTTCTTGGTTGTTTTGTTTCGCATACATTTCGTCGATGCACCCACCCCCGAAACAAAGACAAACAAACAATGCGTACAGACGCTGTATACCAAGTGGGACCAAACGCATCATACGTACGAGGCGTCGGAAACGATTCTGAAACTAGTTGCCTTCTGCTAGCAGCATACAAGCGAGGGGAGCAAGAAGTGCACGTCCTCACGGCAGCACCAACAGGATCAAGTACAGCATAGTAGCTGATTGATTGTGCATCAGAGTCTTTTTTTGTTAACACCATCAAACAACAGTCAAACTCGTTCCTCCCTCGTTGCTACACAGCATGGAGTCCTGCATGCGCATGTAAAGTGGCAATTGTTACCTCCGTGTGATCGTTTAGGCCACAACCACATTTATCTAACTACGCCTGCTTATCTGTTTCCGGCCCGAAAATGTGTTTGTACAGCAGCATCTGAACAACATCATCCACACATTACATACGACAGTCTACCGCTGTATCCATCTCAGCAAACAATCCCACCACGGCGAGGCCGGTACGTGCACGACAGTGAGCAGTGTCCAAAAGAGCGTGTGGTACCGGACCGTCGGTGCAGGCAACACCATCAATGACACATGACCTTGTGTCAACATGTGCCATGGGTTTGTTGCTGCTGCCGAACTACGCGAAAGACTTTGATTCGCCGAAGTCTCCCTTCCAGTTGTCCAGCTGTCCATGTCCATCACAATTTTTTCGTTCTTCTCTTCGGTGGTCGTGATACATTTCTTACTTAGTATACGAAGGACATGGAATACCGGTACAAGAGCTCAGGACACCGCAGGCTACCGACCCCCCCGTCCTCGTTTGCTCCGCCGCTCTCCGTGTAAGGTGGATACGAACGTTGATGGCAAAAATCGAAGGCATACCAAGTGGGAAGCTCCTTCCTGGTTGTGGAAAGATGTGAATATCTGCCGCAGCCAGACAGACGTAGATGGAGCTGTATATCTATCCCGAAAAATGATGAGATGATGAGTTTGACGCGCTCCTCACAAAAAAAACACCCATGATGGAACGAAGAGTGAACAGGAAGTATTCGCTGACCCTCAAGAAACAAATATTTCTTCGCTCAAAACAACAAATCTGAAACACCAACAACTTGACAGCATTGACTGGTGATGGGTGGACAAAGCTTCTCACGGGTTGAACCACCCACAGATTCGTATCAATCGCTCTGCGTGTTCGACATTGATACGAGGATTGGTGTGGGTGGAAGAAACACTACACTCAACAGTGGCTGACGGGGTGCATGCAGGCTGGATGGAAGACACGCACCACAAAACATTAAAAGCCCTCTACGCAACACAAAAGATGTTGGTTCGAAGCGGAACAACGAACGTACTGTGGTGTCTCGCCCAATAAGCGTCTGGAATCTAAATTTTGATGGTATCAGAACAACAGCACACTTTCAGAAAGATACTGTTGTAGATGCTGGTGCGAACGACTCCGTTTCTGACGATACGGGCAGCTCGCCGTGCACGGTGCGCCTGAGCCTGCGACGGCAGGGTCTTGCGGAGAGAGGGCATCACCCGGGCTCCGCGAAGTGGGAGGCCGAGCGGGGTCCGGTTGGAGGCTGGCTGGGTCCGTCAAGTTTTTCGTCTCGACATTTAGAGTAGGGCTAATTCCCCCGCTGCAGCGCTGTAAGGCGTCGAGCTGGAGCTTGAGTGAGTGATGCATGTACCTGTATGTGGTAGCCAAGCCTAGGTACCTCCCCCAGAGGGCCTATACTAAACACGGTACACAGATGTGGTTGGGGCCTAAACCATCACACAGAGGTCACCATCGCCGCCGTACACGTGTTGCAGGAGTCTCTGCTGTGCAGCAGCGCGGGAACGACTTCGACAAGTTTGTGTTTGGCGTGAACGAACACACATGGGAAAACGACACAACAGGGTACACCCTGGTCGAAAAGCGACACACCTGGGTACACAGTCATTAACAACAGTAAATACACTCATATCGTTGGTCAGCGCCTAATTTCACCCCGGTGCGTCCGAGAAGGCGCAGGGTATACCCTGCCGTGACTACTTTTCTCAACAACTGCTGTACCCTGTTTTCGGAAATGTACCCTGACCTGTCGGGAAAAGAAACCCTTTAATCCATCATTTCCCCCGCTGGAATCTTCCCAACTCCTTTTCCCCTCCAACCATGGGATACCAAACGGCGAATCTTCCCGCCCAATAAACACCATGGCAACGGGGCAGGAATCAGTTTCCGCCCCTGCGAATCAACACCAACCATCAACTCTTCCGCTCTAGACTAAGTCAACAATGGCCGGGCAATACCCGAGCACAATTGCCCCGTTTGGAAACATGCACACACGCGTACGACACCCCGTGGACGACTGCTTGTTGCAGTCTATATGCGAGATGCACGGGTCACGCTGTGAAAGCGAGACCGATCCAGCATGGTTGACATGCATTGCATGTGCCAATGTGTGGCGCTGTGCTGGCGGCGAGCTCGCGCCGGCACACGGGGTGGAGAGGAGAGGCAGGACCAGTACACACAGACATGCCCTTGACATCAATCACGCACGCACAAGTCTTATCCTTACTCTAGCAGCAGGACACTGCTGTGTCGTGCATCCCAATCACCTTCCCTGTCGGTAGAGAGAAGAAAGAGTGCTCGCGTTGTGTTTCATCGGCTCACCCCGCTGAAGCCTGACGTTTTCTTCCTACATTGATTGATTTGATTGGTCGGCTTGGTCGGCTGGCAAGCGTGACCACTGCTGCTACAGCAGTAGTTCAAGCAAGAAACACATTGCGATTGAGACACAAAACAGACAACGCAAGCACGCACACACGGCACATCGCAAATGAGACACACAACAGACAACGCACGCACGCACACATGCATATTCATGTCAACCATGCTGGATCGGTCTCGCTTTCACAGCGTGACCCGTGCATCTTGCATATAGACTGCAACAAGCAGTCGTCCACGGGGTATCGTACGCGCGTGTGCATGTTTCCAAACGGAACGATTGTGCTGGAATACGTGTTGCCCGGCCATTGTTGACTTTGAGCGGAAGAGTTGATGGTTGGTGTTGATTCGCAGGGGCGGAAACAGATTCCTGCCCCGTTGCCATGGTGTTTATTGGGCGGGAAGATTCGCCGTTTGGTATCCCATGGTTGGAGGGGAAAAGGAGTTGGGAAAATTCCTGCGGGGGAAATGATAGATGAAAGGGCCTCTTTTCCCGGGGTACATTCCCGAAAACAGGATGCAGCAGTTGTTGAGAAAAGTAGTCACGGCAGGGTATACCCTGCGCCTTCTCGGACGCACCGGGGTGAAAGTAGGCGCTGACCAATGATATAAGTGCATTTACTGCTGTCAATGACTGTACCCAGGTGTGTCGCTTTTCGACCAGGGTATACCCTCATTCATCATCAATCAGCTACTACAGTTGAACCCGCTTTAAGGACGCTCGGATTAAGAAAAATACCCGCTTTAAGGAAACTTGTTTTGCTCAGCACCAGGGGGCCCGGCCGAATATACGATAATGGGTTACCCCCATTGTTTCTGCCGCATACCCCCCTTTTTGTGTCCTGCGGGCCTGCGGGCCGCTCGTTGCACGAACCACGCACCACAGCGAGTGCAGAAGTAGCGACGCACAGACAGCACAAGAAGCGAGCGGTCTGGTGCTGCAGCTGCAACTGGGTGTTGGTATGGATAGATTCCTCCCACCTACCGGCGGTCCATCTGATGCCGCCAAAAAAGAAGTCGTGCGTAACCGCGTCCCTCACCGAGGGGGGGGTTATCTCTCGCTTGGAGGACGTTCGATCCTACAGGTAGCTCCCGCAGTTAAGAAACGTCAAAATCGGACCGAGCCTCAATCCCTCCTTTTGAGTCGAAGTACCGGCCCAAGTCGTCCATTTTCGTAAATGGCATTTCTTCTTCCTTTGGACCGTCGCATCCTCCCGATTCTATTATTCCTTAGACCACAACAAGTTTTTCGTTTTTCTGTTTTCTGTTTTGTGATCTCAGGACAATCCGCATCATCAAGCTCTCAAGAGAGGTGGTGGAAAGTGCCATCAAACCCGTACAGCAGCGGAGAGCATATGGTTGTCCGCGATGTGTGGCAACACTACAGTACAGCCCTTCACTGTGAACAGCAGGGGCGCGGAGGGGGGGGGGG